AACAGAAACTGCCTTGAAATGTGTATCTGATCTGACTGCTGGATATGGGGACCTCAATGAACAGCATCAAGTCTATCACAATTCATTATGAGAATCATTTATTTTCAGGTTTAGGACACAAAGATTTATCAAATTGAGAACCCTATGCTACATTTTATACAAGATTTAATTCTTAAAGGCCTTATACAGTCTTTGAATCAAATTCATTTCAGTGCTGGGACAAAAACCATGGATGCCAGGCAAGCCCTGACCCATATACCCAGCCTCATTAGTAACTACTCTGACTGAGATCCAAATTTCCAAATGCAAAGTCAAATTTAAATAGTAGGAACAAATTTTAATTCATTATTTTAATAATGAATTTAATATTTTAATTATTTTATAATGAATTTACTATTTTAATTCATATCTTCTGTATGATGGCATTGTGGGGAATATTTTAGGGCAATGAGTACTGATACTGTAAGAAGTCAAAGCAGGGACCTATTAAACCTTTTCCCCTTCATGTTTACTATGTAGTCACTTGCTCTTCATCTTATTGTAGAAAATCTCAACATACACTACATCCTCCTAACCACTACGTAACCTAAAGGCCAATGGTGCACACTAGTAAACTCAGCACTGGTGTGTGGGGTAGGATCTTAAGAGTTCACGGTCATAAGGCTGGGAAGATGGCTTAGTGGTTAATGAGCACTTGCTGCTCCTGCAGAAACTCAGGTTTGGCCGAGCCGTGGTGGCGCACGCCTTTAATCCCAGCACTTGGGAGGCAGAGGCAGGCGGATCTCTGTGAGTTCGAGACCAGCCTAGACTACAAGAGCTAGTTCCAGGAAAGGCTCCAAAACCACAAAGAAACCCTGTCTTGAAAAACCAAAAAAAAAAGAAAAAAACTCAGGTTTGGTTCCCAGCATGCACATGGTAGATTACAATTATCTGTCAGTTTCAGCTCTAGGATACTGATTCAACACCGGCTCTGAGGGCAACAGGCACACATATACATGCAGACAAAAAACTCATAAAATACTTATTTACTAGTTCAAGAACAGCCTAGTCTATACAAAACCCTGTCTCAAGAGGAAGAAAAAAAATGAAAAAAAAAAAAAAAATAAAGCAATCCTAATTCTCAATTCACAACCCCCGCAAGAAAGTCTGAAATTCAAAATGCCCATGGACCTTAATAAAGACCTCGTCTCAAAAGTCCTCATTCTATACTTTGCTGCTGAACAGATTTTCCATGGGCCCTTAAAGGCAACTTACCTACTTCAAGGATCTCTGACTAATATATAAAACGCATTGCCCATCTCACATATGTTGTTGTACCTCAACTGACCGGATTATCAGGTGAAATTCTCCTGTCTCAGGTAGGACTAGAATTCACAGCCTTCAAAATCCAAAGAGCCTTCTCATTACAACAGAGGAAAATACAACCTGGTGCCAAGACCCTGCATGAATCCCACAAAGCATAACAAAATTATCTATGCTGCCCTTTGCTGTGGGATAATGCTCTTGTACACTGTAAAGATTTGTCACTCGTACTGGTTTAATAAAATGCCAGTAGCCAGGCAGGAAGTATAGGCGGAGCAACCAGACTAGGAGAATTCTAGGAGGAGAAAAGAGAGAGCCGCAGTCATCATCCAGAAGCAGAAGATGAGAACGCCTTACTGAGGAAAGGTACTAAGCCACATGGCTAAACATAGATAAGAATTATGGGTTAATTTAAGTTGAAAGGGTAATTAGTAATAAGCCGGCAATAATAGGCCAAACAGTTTGTAATTAATATAACCTCTGTGTGTTTATTTGGGACTGAATGGCTGCAGGATTGGGAGGGACAGAAACTTCTATCTACAACCCTTGGCTTCCCCAATGTTCCTTCCACAAGGTTAACTAACACCAGGGGACTCTATGGCTTCTGGATTACATCTGAGCCATGCTGCTGTGCACTGCTGCCTGTACTCAGCTGACCGACTCTGAAACTCCCCCTTCCTAAACAGAAAGGGCCTAAAGAATCTACAAATGCGTTCAACTTTCTGACATGGCAACACAACAACATTGACACTACAATCTCTTCCTCAGTCTCAGCAGGTAGGACTAAGCCATCAACGCTCATCAGCTAAGTTACTGCTGCAACTTTAATAGGATAAATCCAAAGGAGGTAGACCTTAAAATTCAAATAGATTAACAAATGATTGTCTTACAATGGTTGAGCTTAGTACATGGATAGAAAGAGATCACATTAAAGCAAATATACCAGCAAATATTATATTTCTCTAATGAAATCTAGATAAAAAAAATAATAAAAAGAAATTTAAAAAGGCCAGGCACAGTGGTACTTGCATGTATGCTTGTAATCCAAACACTAGAGAGGCTGAAGCAGGACTGCACTGGGATACACTGAGTGTCAGGCTAGCCTGGACTACAGACCTTGTCTCAAAATGAGTAAATAAAATAATAATCATAATGGAACTGGAGAGATGGCTCAGAAATTAAGAGTACTGGCTACTCTTTCAAAGGGCCAGGATTCAGTTCCCAGCACCAACCTGTAACTCCAGCTACAGGTGATCTGATATCCTCCACGGAAATTCCACTCACAGAGAGCACGGATCTACACTCAGACAAAATACCCATACATATAAAAAGTGAAAGTTTGTTTAAAAACATAATAATATTTAATAAAGTAGAAGAGAGATGGCAGAGTGGTTGAGTGATGCTCTTGCAGAGGAACAGGTGTTTTTAGCAGCAACAGGTGGCTCACACCTACCTGTAAGTCCAACTTCAGGTGATCAATAACTCAGCCTCTACAGAAAGGCATACATATATACAAAGGTATACACACACATCTCTTTTTAAAGATTTCTTTCTTAATGTTTTGCCTGCATATAACATATGTGTACCACCTGAGTGGCTAGTGACCCTCCAGGCCAAAAGAGGGTGTCCAATCCTCTGGAGCTGGAATTACAAATGGTTGTGAGCCACCTCGTGGGTGCTGGGAACCGAACCCAGGTCATCTGTAAGACTAACAAGTGCTCTAAAACAGAGGCTTCTCTCCAGCCCCAATAAACTTTGTTTTTAAAGCAAAGCCTACATGAGGGACTATTTGACAAAAGAGAGGGTGGGAAGACGCAAGAGATTGTAAGATCAAAATGCAGAGTGGAAATGTATAAACACATAATGAAACCTATTGGAGGTTTAAAAACCGGGCCAAAGGAGGAGTCTAAAGTTAGAGCAAGATTTAACACAAAGATTCTAAGTGTTCCTGACACATGCTCCCCCACAGAGAAAATAATTAAGTTCGAATATACTACTTTAGAAAAATAAAGCCTCATCCACTCACTAATAGAGTTCCACTTATTCAATCATGTGTATGTACTAATGTGTACCACATGACTGTAAGTGCCTGGTCTCCCCATCCCCTTATAGCTGGAGTTACAGTGTTAGAAACACTAATACGATAGCTGGGAACCATAAGCAGGTCCTCTGGAAGCGCCATGAGCTCCTAACAACCAAGCCATCTCTCCAGTCCCAAATTCCAGTGTTTTGTAAGCCAGTGCCAAGCTGCCTTTTTTTCACTTGTGACCACTTTATAGTGGGGATGAAAAGAAGGGGAAGGGATGATTTGCGGTCTGCACACCCCGAGCATTTAAATTTTTCTCTTTTTGCCAAAATGGTGCATGGTAGATTAAAAATAACAACAAAACCTAACTCATGGAAAGTATCTGTTTCCAAAACGGAAGGATGCTAAAATCTAATCGCTGGCAGTGAGACGGGCTAGAAAGACAGTGGAAAGAGGATATGATAAAGAAAGAAAAAAAGCCCCTCACCCAGAGATTTTTCCTGTCCATCAAATTCCACCACTGCTCACCAGTAAGTGCCAAGATGACCAGGTCCGTGGGGCGATGGGGCGCCAAGCCGGGCTCCAACGGCGGAAATCCTTTTCCTTCAGGAAAAGCAAAAATTTTATAAGATCACCTTAAAGGCGTTCGAGGCAGCAAGGTCTATATTCGAACTATACATACACGGGGTGATCAACGCACACTTTAAGCGAGATGGCCCCCGGCCGGGGCCGGAGGACCGCTGGGCCCAAGCCTCTGAGGGGCGACCTGGCGAGACGCGCGGCCCGGGGACGAGCGGGGTCCCCACGAAGGCCACCACCAGATCTGACTCCCCACCTCGGCCACCGCCCATCCCCTCACCCGTCTCACCAGAGCCCGTGCAGCCAGCCCGCCGCCGGGGAGAAAAGAGAACGGGCCGGGCTAAGCCACACCGGAAAAGACGGAGACGAGCTGCGGCTCACTTCCGCTTGCCGAGTCGGAATCCTTCCGGAATAGAAATTTCGGTTCCTGGGACTTGGGTTCGGTTGATCCAGAAGCGGAGGTTTAAAAACCGGGCCAAAGGAGGAGACTAAAGTTAGAGCAATATTTCTGGGCGAGGCCAGCCTTTCCCGATGACCAAAACCATGGTGAAGTTAAAAACACAGCCCGGGAAGTACGGGGTCTCAGGAGGCTCACAAACCTTCCCTCCTCTTGGGTCCTGTTCTTCCCGTGTTGATAAACCAGATCTGTGAACCGGCGGCCTCTCGCCCCACTCAACCACAACAGCCTTGAGTTTTTATTTCTGGACACCCTGCTAAATTCTAACCGTTGGTGGTGAGACGGGCTAGAAAGACAGAAAATGAAGAGGACGTGAAAAAGGAAGAAACCCCTCTCCCTGAGACTTCCTGATGAAAAAATTAAAATGTAAACACAAGTGAGACAGCCAAAACTTGCTTACAGAGAAAAAGTGTGTTTTCGTAAAGACATCTCCAACTGATATGTTAAAGACAAATTTAAAAATAAAATATCAGAGCCAGGAATGGCAGTGCACCCCTGCAATCACAGCACCCGGGGCAGAGGCAGGCAATCTCCCTGAGTTTGAGGTCAGCTTGCTCCATACAGCAAGTTCCAGGCTAGTCGGGGGCTACATAATGAGAACCCATCTCAAGACAAAAATGAAAATAATTGCAACAAAGAAAATTTGCTTACTTCGAGCCAAAATGCCTACAATCTTGAATTTCACTGTATTAACACTCCTCTCAGCCCAAATGTGAACAATGCACCTCATATAACCATTGAACAATTTCATTTGCAAATGGAAATTCATTAAGAATGAGTAAACCAGTCATATATTGTATTTAATTCTTAAATGATATTTAAATTTTAAGCTTTGCTTAATCTTTAAACCTTATTATAAATCACATCCTTTGCAAAATAGAACTGAGAAAGTCACAGATCATTCATGTATGCACTGATATATCTATAAACATTGAAGACACATCTAAATGAGATCCCCTGTAAAAGCCCACACCTTTGTCTGGGGATTGTGTACTGTCTTTTTCCTACAAAACTTTCTGTCCAAATGTTAGTTGTGAGGGACACATCTAAACTGCCACTATCAGCAGTCTGTGGCGCTTCCTTAATTTTTAAAATTTTATTAAAATACAGTATTTCATCCCCTCCCTCTTTTCTCTCCAACCCCTCTGAAGTCTTTTTAATTTTTTTTTCTTTAGATGGTCTCACTATGTAGTCCTGGTTGGCCTGGAATTCTCTGTGTGACCAGGCTGGTCTGGACCACCCCTAGATTTCCTGCACTAAAGGTGTTCGGTCACATGTCCCAGTCCTCTTCTTTCAGTTTTTGTTGTTGTTGTTTTGTTTGTTGCCTCCTGGGGTCAAGGAAATGGGAGACCCACAGAAGACTCCAACATGGGCAGATTTGGACATAACAGGCTGTATTGCTGAACGATAAGGTCATCCATTTTTATATCACAGTAAGAAGTTAACACCAAACCTCCATAGTAGATTTGGTTTGTTTTGTTTTGATTTTGACACATTATTTTACATGATACACTTCCCGATTTCGAGGGGAAAGGAATTTTCACAGTCGTGTGCTCTCAACACAGTCAGAGGGAGCTGACACTGAAACAGCCAACTTGTGAAGTCCATGTGAATGTGTGGCCGCCCAGGGATAACTTGGAAAAGTACAGATCTCAAACAGTACCCAAACGATAGATTGCCAGGTACTACACAGGCTGCTGCCCACGGGCAGCTACAGTGGCTCAGAGCAAAGAGAAATCAGCCTTCTTGGGTGGGAGGTTGGAGACATGGGCTATGTTGGGTCTTACTGCCTACTCTTACTGCCTGGCATCTCCAGTCCTGTTTTTCTCTGAGTGAAGTATGCTTTCCCTTCTCAACCTCCTTGTCTGTTCTAGCTTCTGTTTCTGCCCCACTGAGTACTTGTTTTTGGTTTTCTTTCCAGTTACACTTAACATGGGAAGGGGAAGGAACAGGCTGATACATTCCCTCTCTGAGTTCTGTCAACTCCAACACCATAGTTTTTATAATTATTTATTTATATTTTATGTGCATTGGTGTCCTGCCTGCATATATGTCTGTGTGAGAGTGTCAGATCTTAGAATTACAGACAGTTGTGTGCTGCCATGTGGGTGATAAGAGTTGAACTGTGGTCCTCTGGAAGTGATGTGGGAGTCCCCTCTGTGTGCTGTGATTATCATTAATGAATAAAGAAACTGTCTTGGCCTGTTGATAGGGCACACTTAGTTAGGTGAGGAGAACTAAACTGAATGCTGGGAGAAAAAGGGCATAGTGAGAGAGACGCTATGGAGCCTCCACTGGAGATAGACGTGTTGAAACTTTGCTGGTAGGCCATGACCTCATGGTGATATACAGATTAATAGAAATGGGTTCTATTAAGATGTAAGAGTTAGCCAATAAGAAGCTCAAGCTAATGGGCCAAGCAGTGATTCAAATAATATGGTTTCTATGTGATTATTTTGGTTCTGGACAGCCAGGATGAACAAGCAGCTCCTCCTCCAACATGGAAGAGCAGTCAGTGCTCTTAACCACTGAGCCATCTCTCCAGCCCCAGTGCCATAGATTTTAAAGTTTGATATTTTTATGTATTTATGTCTGCATGTATTTTATGTGTGCTATTTTCATGCCTGGTGTCCTGGGAGGTCAGAAGAGGGTTTCTATTTTCTGGAACTAGAGTTATAAATGTTTCTTAACATGTGGTTCTGGGAACCGAACCCAGGTCCTCTGCAAGAGCAGCAAATATTCTTAACCACTGAGCCAGCTCTCCAACCCCTAACAGCATAATATCTCCTTGCCCTTCAAGGTCAACTAGGTCCCAGGGCATCTCTCCAAATGCCCAGTAACTGTGGAGATTCATCTGTTTTCTTGCTCAGAAAAACCATGGAGGCCCCACCTAGTGAACTTTAACCATATCAGTCTACAAGAAGCTCAACACACACACACACACACACACACACACACACACACAAAATGTTCTCCATATTTCTAAGCAAAGCCATGGTCAAGCAAGACCTTTGGGATCCTCACAAGAAACAACTGGTAGAAGGAAAGCTAAAGAGAGGATCCTTTCAAGCTCAAGTGGCCTCTAAGGACTAGATTTTCAACTGGCCTTGACAATAAAAAGTACATGATTAATTTTTGGCCACCCACATAGTTTAAAACCCAATAGGAAAGTGTAAACAAAGACTAAAATTATCATTACGTTTTCTCATGATCTCAACCTTCCTAATGGTTTGAATATTTTAGTACAGTTCCTGAAGTTGTGGTGACCCCAATCATGAAATTATTTTTATTGCTACTTCCAAACTGTAATTTTGCTACCATTATGAATCATAATGTAAATATCTGTGTTTTCAGATGGTCTTAGTCAACCCTTATGAAAAAGCCATTTGATCCCCCCAAGAAGCATTACAATCCACATACTCCTAGACATTAGCTTTAAGCTAATGTGGGATATTACTATCACTAGTGATTTTCTTCTTGATAAGAAAAATGCTGCCGGATATAAGACTTTATACTTATCACTGCAGCCAAGAGAGACAAGACCACTTTTTAACCTAAAAATTAAATGATGGCTTTCTCTTCTTTCCTTCTCTAGATGCCATCTGGGAGGGAACTCATACTGCTTCTCACCACTCCACAGTTATCAGAGGACCTGAAAGCAGATCCTGGGTCCAGCACTCCGGAAAACAACCTTAGAGGCCAAAGACAAATGAAGAGAAATCCAATAGATGGATGCCCTGTGAGCCTCTCAATATGTTTTAATGAACTTTGATAGGGGCAATTAAAAAATATTCTCTGTACCATCTCCAGATTCTCTACTTAGGACACACTATCCCTCTTGCCCTCACTCCTCCCTCGTATCCTTTTCCAAGTATCAGTCAAGAGCCTCCTTATCTTCATGCACCTGGCTGTTATAAAAATGAAACTAGGAGGCATTTTTTGGGTCTTTTAGATAAGCCTACTGGAGGGGTACCCTGCCACGCCTGGTGATCTCATCTATCATACTAGAAAAAGCCAGGTAAGTCTTTGTCTATACTCCATAATAGAGGTTAGGACAACTTCTTCTTGATGGGGTAAGTTTTTAACATTGTATGACAAAGAGTTGAGATTTGTAAGAAACATTTTTTTTATAAAAGTTAGTCAACCCAAAAGTGTTGTCGGGGTTTCTGTCCTGCCTGCTTCCCGCAATCATTAAGTCCCAAAGAAATCACACAGAGGTCTATATTAGTTATTAATTGATTGGCCTAGTAGCTCAGACTTCTTATTAACTCTTACAACTTATATTAGCCCATTACTCTTGTCTATGTTAGCCATGTGGCTTGGTACCCTTTTTGGTGAGGCAGTCACAGCTTGCTTCTTCTGTGGCTGGGTCACAACTGCAGACTAGGACTTTCTTCTTCCCAGAATTCCCTGTTCTCATTGACCTACTTCTACTTCCCATCTGGTTGTTCCGCCTATACTTCCTGCCTGGCTACTTGCTAACAAGCGTTTATATAAAATATAATTGACAGAATACAGACCCTTGTCCCACACCAAAAGCTCGAATTTCCTCAATCTTCTCCTCCCTCTTTGCACTGATTAGCCAATTTTATCATTTTGTGAAGTCCAGCTCCCAGTAATAGAATGAGATGCAGTCACCCCATGTCAGAGATAAAAACAGGCCATTTTGGCCAAGTGTGAACACTAGCCTAGTATGGGTTCTGGTATACCATTTTTGCAAAAAGAAACCATCTTGCTAAATTACTTTCACTTCATTCACATGTTATTTTGCGTAACTAATGTGGGATTCCCCTCTGCATGCTGTGAATACAATTGGTTAATAAAGAAACTGCTTTGAGCCCATAGCAGAGCAGGACAGAACAGAGCTAGGTGGGGAAAACTAAACTGAATGCTGGGAGAGTCAGAGGGAAGCCATGGAACTGCCTCTGGAGACATACACGCTGAAACATTGCTGGTAGGCCATGACCTCGTGGTGATGCACAGATTAATGAAGATGGGGTAAATTAGGATGTAAGAGTTAGCAAATAAGAAACTAGAGCTAATGGGCCAAGCAGTGGTTTAATTAATACAGTTTTGTGTGGTTATTTTGGTAGTCTGGGT